TGTGTCTTAGACAGGGTAATATTTTCATAAGAAATACCGTAGAAATAATAAAAATACCGTTTCACTGTCCCAGGATTAACGTGTTATCAAAAATTTCTTATTGTCTTTGATGGATGTCAGTATAATTGCAGTTTTGATGGTTGYGGCGTAGATACCGATTCCTTATTTATCCGATTTGTCTTGAACAGGGAATGGATTTTCACTTTCTAGTGTCTTAAACAGAYTTTTAGGCTGCTGGCGGCACGTACCTATCCAAAACGGGGTCAAGTAATCCCCCCCTCCCGGGTATTTTCTATTATAACTGGCAACTTTTCGCTTTTTTTCTCTTTGGGCTCCTCGACGCCGAAGATGTAGAAAAAATTGCTAAGTAAAGTTTGTTTMTTTGTGTCCCCCCTCCCCCTACGATCATCTTTTTGTCACAACAGAAGAACCACAAATCAAGGGAAAAGTAAAGAAAGCGAAGGGTGGAGGAGCCTACCATAAAATATACGTTAAGAAACTGTTTTGTCTAATGATGGTCGATAATTTATTTTATACACAAATTTCGTGGTTTATAAAATAATTTACATCCAATTAAACCCTGCTTCATGTAATTCTATGTYGTAGCTAATGAGCTTAAACAGAAGTTTCCTCCTAGCGTCAAAGGGTTTATGAAAACAGAAATCTAAGGTGTCAACAGTACTGCACAAAAACCTAGCGAATTAGGCCCTTTTCTAACGCTTAGTCCAACACGTGATGAAATCTGTGCAAATAAGACGGTCCTCGGAAGATACAAAAGATTGGAGTAGTTTACACCGACTTCGACACAACTGAAGATCGGCGTCTTGAAAAGTGCATAATGGCGGTCGATCGTTTTTTAACACCAAGACTTCAAAATATAGTAAAAATATGGCTTTGCCGCACCGCAGATTGGGATGTAGATCTTTTGGCAATGAGCAGTCTTTTCATATTTTTGAGCTTGTTTTAAATATAATATGGATTTGTACTTGATACCAATTAGTCCAACACTCCGTRGCTCTCTCAAGTATTCCTACAAACTGCACTGATATTTCACGGGTAGAGTTATATTCTACTCGGTTAWAAGGCAAAAGTGAGCTATTATGCCACTCAATCATCTCAAGTTGCTATGGGAGACGGCGTTGGTACGTTTTGCTTTCAAGGTCGTACTCCGGTCTGTCCTAAAGGATAAAAAAATCAAATATGATACAACAAAGCTACACTCGGGTTTATAAGATGTGCTCACTTACGTTTTATCTATTTTGGATTTTGTTTTTGATGACGTAGGAGGGTCGCGGAGAGTGGGTAATGCAGATGACAAGGTTGGTAATCGTTGTAGACTCGATGATGGAGAACCCTTAGAGGAGCTGCTACTTTTTGATGTGTAGGAAGTCCCTTTTTGGCCTTGTTTGGAAGACACTGACGTCCCTAAAAGAAGACAGTTTATATCAAAAACTTCTTTTGATTTAAGATATGCATTTGCCACCCTGCATGCACCCGTGATCATTTTGATGTTGCAAATGCTTTTGAACAACCTTCGACCAATAAGGGTTCTGGTCTTCTCTTGTTCTATAAGTAAGCCACAGTACCATTCGTTCTATATATCTTTATGAATTCGCCTGAAAGTTTACACTGAATGTCATACCTGAAGTACTTTGCGCATTCACTGTTTTCTTGGGGTTAGAGCTTTCTCTTTCTGTTTTGCTAGTTTTATTCTTAATAGATCCTAAATGACACGACTAAGTCTTAATTATGTTATATATTCAAAATATCAGCATCTAAAATATGACTAAGTTTGAACCTTTTTTCGCGTTTTTATCGTCCTTTGATGTTCCCTTCTTGCGAAAGTCAGATTGTTGACGGCCACCTGTCATCTCTTCTTTTTCTTTGTCCTCCTATAATTCATCACAATATTGTTAAAATGGAAGCTGGAATCTGTAGAATTATCAATTATATTTTGAATTTAAAAAATATTTGGATTCAGAGTGACATGATTTAGACCGATGTTGAATATTTTATTGCTCGCACGCTGGATTTATGACCGAAAATCAGTGATGGCTCTGCACAAATAGACAGAAATCAGTTCGTTTAGGCTATGCTGTTTTTTCATATAACACAAGTTGATAATTCACAGCCTTCCCATATTAACAATCATGTAATTTCCCAGCGAGGTCGGTAATTATTTTTTTCCGAATTAATTTCCAAGACCCTTTCGCCCAGAATAATCTCTTTCCAAGCACTAAGTTTTCCATTAATTCTATTTCATGTACWTTCAATGTGTTTGAAGAAGGGTAAATTGTATGTCTATACAGTGCAGTTACAGGTCGCTTGTGTTCACTTCTAATCTCATGTTGTTATGGTAACAGTGAAGAGTATTTTACCAAAGCTTTCAATAATTTTTCCTCCTCTTCTTTTTTCTGGTCATTAAGATCATCCTCAAACATTGTTCGCCTTGAGAACTAAGAAAAAGAAAAAGATATAAGATAAAATCAAATATATGATTATATAAGGATAAGAGGAGAAAGATGCCACCAGATTTTTTATGCGCAAGTAAAGGAACGATAATACGAGCAAAATCGGCCAACTTATCTTGCAACATTGCGTTAAAACAAGCTAAGCGTTYTACTACCAGCTACTCAACTAGTCTTGCAGCAAACGCCACAAGGTTTCAATTGACAACTAGGTTTCAATTGACTTCTTTCTGCTAATATTTTATCCGCTCTTTTATGCTTTCGGRAAATATATACTTTGCATACATTTGAAGCAAAACCAAAGTAGATAACATCATTCAAAAAGAATTCAAACATCAACTGAAATAAAAATATTACTTACAGTATCCATTGCAATTTCAATTTTATCAAGTTTCATTACGGCCTAGGATAAAAAGATATTAACGAAAGTCAGGAAATATGTCATGTGCAATAAACTCGATAACATCTGGACATWTTGACCGAAATAGGGTTAAAAAAATGCAGAAATAGAAATTAAATCTGAGTGGGACTTATGCTGAAAACAACTAAAGCAGTATTAATTTAAAAAAAGTAACCCCCTTGGTAATATTCTTGATCGCCCAGCACTGATGAGGGTAACTCCATTATGACAAAACGTGTTGTGGGGATGCTCGTTGTCCATTTGGAAATTTCAGCAAGTATTTTGAATTTGTAACAAGATTACTTACAAGTTTTTGTTGTCATAAAACGATACAACAAGACAYTTTTAAGCGTCTTAAAATTTAGCTGAATTTCTCTTATRATATGACTTTGCTCTCGAGAGTTGATATTGAAATTTTTGACAAGATCCTACTCTCTTGTATTCAAGAGTAGATGATATTTTTGTAACATTTTGTAACCACAAATGCTGTGAATGGTTCATTTCTGAGACAAGAACATCTTACCTCTCGCACTGCAGAACATACATCTGGTTCTTGTTCAGAACTGAGCAATTTACGTACACACTGTTCCAATTGTTGCAACAATGCACGATCAGATAACTTGAGAACAGATTTCAGTGTGGGTAAAACAGAACAGAATTTCAGCCGAACATTTAACACTGGATCCTGTGAAATGACAAGCACTTAGTGAAAACCATAAAATAGCTTGCTATCAAAAGTGTACATAAGAACAAAGTCCTTTGTATTTAATATTGCAATATTTTGCCATTACTTCTGTGTTGATGTATTCTTGATCAGTATTTTCATATGGGGTCACTACCAGGTGACATTCCATGATCTTTTTGCCATGTYATGTCTGTGCTGYGACTGGTGTATTTGTGATATGAAATTTTCTCCAATGAATACAYTGTATTATATATAATATACTTACCGATGCCAACTCTAACAGGAATTCAAAGAAATTCTCTTTGAAAAAGCTCCGTGAAAACAACTCCATTATATACTTGCATATATCAATAAAAAGTAGTCGAGATTTGAAGCTTTTTCCTCTTCCGCACTCTAAAAGACAAAATTAGTTAGGAATTAAGGTGTCTTCCTAGAGTTGAATTCCTGGACACACCAACGGTTTTAGAGCATCCATTTGACCAACTTTCTCATCATGGATTACATGAAACATTTTTCCTATGAAAATTACCATTACAGTAGTTCGAAGCTTATAGCAACAAAATAATACTTTCATTAATAGCAACAAATATTACTTTTTGTTTTGATATGTAGTCAGAATTTCTAAGTAAATTCATGATTTTAATTTTACGAGAAAACGATAATAAAGCACTTGACTTTTAATGGACAGATKTGTGCCACAATTTTCTCTGCATCAAAAAACAAGATTTGCTTTGATTTAATACTTCATGAGCTACTAATTCAGACATCTTGAATTATAGTCCAGCCCCAGATCTTTTTTAGCCCGCTCCATTTTGGCTTTTTGTGTGTTCTTTTTTATCATATTTATTTGATAGGAATACAAAWTTTTTTATCTGTCTCATCTCCAATAATTCACAAGAAATCGACATTAAAAAAAGCTATTGTTTTCCGAAAATTTGCCCATCTACCCAATTTTWTCCGAGATCTACAATGGGCACAGATCAATCCATCACGTGACCGGTGTTTCATATCTCATCACAGACTAGTTAGCAGCYTGTGAGGCAGTAACGTAGTACCACATGTAATTCAAAAGTTCAAAATGTGCGCCCATGAATCAAGGAAATAAGGATTTGTGTGTTTTTTTTTCTCCTGTCAATTTTCTTTTAAATGTAAGTATATAAGGGGTGGGCTGCCTGTGGGTAAACATCTTTTTTTATTTGACMACAATTTTTTTGGGCAGAATGAAACAACAGTTATAGAAATAAAATAAATGTTCCTAACAGCAAGTACATTTAAAATGGTGTGAAAAACTCTACCGAGAGAAAGTTACAAATCAAAAGTCAAACAGCTATTCAAAATTATTGTTGRTACATTCTGGGATCTATAAAGAAACCATAAGTAGGATTAATTAAGCCTCACCTTGAATCAACCTACAACACAATTCTTGTCGATGCTCAAATCGTCTGTTAAACCTTATGAAGACACACAGAGTATGTGCTGCCTTTAATTTGACAGGTAAAACACGCTACAGATAGCAAAAAATAAAGCATTTTAGTAGCCTGATTGATTTCCTACTACAAAAGACCATAAACACCTATTTCAAAAAAGGTTGTCCAAATGACTGGAGAATGCACAACAACAAGTTACTGTTCAGGGCACATTGATTATTTTTGGCAATATTCACCCATCCATGAACAATTAATCACAACTACTTTCAGTCATGCAATAGCGCTCCACTCCTACAACCTTACTTGAAATAGTTGCATAAATYTATTTACATACATTTGAAGACAGTAACCGAAACAGTAATGGAACAAACTTATAGTAGATCTGTTCTGATGTTAGGCATTTTGGGAAGCAAGCAAACTTCTCCAAGAGTTCTACATGTAATCGCCAATTACTTGAAGATGCCACAGCAAGCTCACAAGCTATTAATGATGCTATTAAGTCTGATAAATTATTTAACTGAAAAAGAAGAAAGTTCATTAATATTGCAGCTCACAGTTTTACAGCGAAAARATTATTKCAAYGTGACTTCTTTGYGGTGAATGTTGTTGTTTTATTTGTTCTGTCTTGTGATGGTAAACCCATTTAGTCAGTTGTTAACCCTTTGACTCCTATGGTGCCTGAAACAGCCCGTAAGAAACGTTGCTCTTTAAAAAATGTCTTTCTGAAGCGACTCATCTTGGTGCAACTTTGGTATCAACATAATCCCTAAATATTGGTCTTTCTTTTGATGCTAAATCAACTTGGATTAGCTACACATTAAAAAAAAATGAAAAAAAGGCTTTTTTGACAATAATTTCCGACAGTGAAAATTATACTTTTTCATTGCAATTTTTTCCTACAAAATTCTTGTTTCAAACAAGTAAAACAATGTTTCTGATAAAATTCAGTCCTATTTCTGCCATCTCAGCCATTACTTTTTTCCTTTTTTCCCAACACAGCTTCAAAGATGGCTTTCTCATTCACTCCTGTTTCAGAGCACRTGTTCTAACCATATTTTTGCAAGAAATGAATTCTGGGAAAACACCGTACAAGCCGCCAGCAACCTTCCCCTCCATTCTCAAATTGAAATTTTTATTAAGTCTAGAGCCCTCCTGGAATTCTGCCCAAATTTTGAGTTGCCTGTGCTCCTCGATAGCCAAAACCTCCCCCCCAAAAAACAAAACAAAACAAAACAATGTAGTGGGAGATCATAGAATTTGCCTTTAAGTGAAACTCTTTTAGTGAAGGTCCAAGTTCACCGAATCGCTTATTAAAAGAAAATTGCCTAAAAAGTAAAACCCAGCTGGATTCTTTCCACTTCCTGCAAAAAAGAGGCAAACTGTTTCCATAGAAACGGYAAACACTGTGTCGAGAGGACATTTGAAATCTTTTAACCTCAAAAGTGCCCTATTTTTCTGAAAGGTCCCAGTATARTCAAAGGGTTAACTTGTGGTAATCTCTGCCCCTAAGTCATAGAAAAACCCATATCCCAATGATTTCTTTTGAAAAGTGGCGAAGCAATGGTTTCTGTTGTAAATGCTTAAAAGTCTCCTACCCATACATGTATTTTATATAATAACATACTTTCAGGCCTGAAATGTAGGGCCCATGAATGACCTGTCAGCATGGAATAATCAACAACATAAAACACAAGTAGCCATATTGTAAAATATTGAGGTACAAAATATTGAGATGATTATAACTGATACCTTTGATGCATGTCCACTAGTTGCTAAACATTCTAAACTTTCTGGTAAATTTTGTATAAGGCCTTGTAGGACCTAATTCAATCAAATGCAAGATTCTAATTAGAAATCATGCAACTAAACTATAATGCCAGTATTATGTTTGTATCAAACTTACCTCAATGGATTCATCTTTTAATAATATACCTAAATCTCTTTGGGTCAGTCCAACACCAGAACCAAGGAGTTTTGCAACCTGGAATATTATCATACAAATATGTTATTCATTTGCAAACTAAACACTGGTACTAACTCTTATGATGAATTATATTTTTTCTTAATTTGAGCCCCTAAAGACCATTTATTGCAAACAAAAGGGCAAGAAAACCAGAATATGATTATACAGTTCTTTTTGTTCCAATTAACTCCACCTCACATGAATCTCATAAAGATTATATAGAGTGAGACAGTCACTGACAGTTGTCTRTTACATCCCAAGTGGTTCTTTTACACCCATCCAAAGCACTAAGAAGGAAGTGTGGCATGAAATGGGTGTGCTGCTTTTCTATTTTGTTTTTAGTCTCAAAAGTGAGATACTGTATCTTCTTGTAAGGACTGGTTGCATATACACCATATTCATTCCTTGTCAGTCCTACTATTGATGAAGCAATGAAGAAAACAATGCAGATGGCCATGCAGATATTGCAGCAAGGCAAACAAAACAGCATGACAAGCAAAACAACACAAGAAAAAAACAAAAACAAACAAACAAAAATAAAACTGCCAGATAAACTAAAAATTCCCACATGAACAAACCACCCACATGAACAAACCACCCACATGAACAAACCACCCACATGAACAAACCACCCACATGAATAAACCACCCACTTGAATAAACCACCCACATGAACAAACCACCTAAATGCAAAAGACAGTGCCAGATATGTCTATTCACATGAGTTCTTGAGTAGTGATCAGAGGCCAGGAGACATTTTCATGTCAGTTATTTAACTAAAATAATCGAAAATCAAA